GATTTGGCTTGCTTTTTGAGCGCTTAAGTGTTGCATTCAGGGCACCTCCATGGTAAAGCTGACGCTGGCAACGACAATTTTGGTAACAGCCCACGGGTGGGGACAGGATTTTCACCATCCCCTGTGGGCATCATCCGTACAGTACATAAGCCGGCAGAAAGGGCCCATATCCAACGGCAGCAAGCAAAAACGATCTTGAAACACGTTGTCAACCAGCCCTTTCCGAGAATCTGGATCCGCTACCTTTGTGGGCGAAGCATGGTTCTCATTCAAGCCTGACAAAAACAAGGATAGCACCCCCTATCAAATATTCACTTTGCTTTCGGCCGGGGCGTTCGCATTGCGAGAGCGAGTGGATCGCACAAGAGATTCTCCCTTTAGTCTGGCTGTTACGTGTTTGGCTTCTCGTCCAACATGTTCACCCATTTAATTTCCTGAATGGTTGCCGTTCCTCTTTTGAATGCATCCTTCAATTCAGCCCTGGCTCCGCCCACGGATGTCCATACTATGGCCGTAGCCCTTCATGCCCTTCCTCCAATCTGCAGCAGCCCACGGGGAGCGCCTGTTGACCAACCTAGCAGAAACCAAGGTTTGAAGCGCAGACCGTTTTGCTGCTTGAGCTTGGATCGCAATATGGTTCATGCAGGGGACGGCCTTGCTAGGACTTTCAGGGGGCCGCACGCATGATCAATATTGATCAAACAGTGCTATTTCCAGCAACAGCCGCAAGCTTGCCGTCACGCACGTCACGCGGCCGCCAGAACGGCCGGGCGTTGCACACTCAAGGGAAGCACCCAGCTGTGCGCAAGGGATTGCCCAGCTGATTGCCCACCACTTGGCAAACAAGGCCGGTGCTTAACAAAGAATCACTTGCTGCGGTAAGACACACTATTTTTGTTGCCCCCTTGGCTGGCACTGATCACATGCAACCAGTGGGCCTTCCATGCTTCCCGACTCGACAGTGCCACTTTGAACAATTTGAATTAAGCGAAGCTCACCTCCGCCAGTGTTGGGTGCCCATAGTTTGTCAGAGATTGGCCATTGGCAAATCTGACCTTCAACAAGCACGTGCACCGCTAATTTAAGAATGCGCAAACCTTGCTTGAACTGGTCCAAGGTGACAACTGGTTTACTCACACCCCTAGAAATGACAGATTGGCAGGCCAATATCCGCACTCAGGGCAGGCTCACTCTCTGTGGGAGCCGTGGTCGCTCAAGCAGAAAAGGCCTGGGCCAGCCCCTTCGTTGCACATCGTCAAATCTGCCAAAAGGGGCCTTTAGGGGTGAGAGGACGGTGGATGCAGGCATACCAAGTGTGATTGGTTCAGAGCATGCCGCTTCCCAACCTCAAGAGAAGTACATCACTCTGCACAAACGTGTCTGCCAGTTGGCGTCCAGGCCGTCCGCGAGCCTCAGCAGCGGGACTGAGATGCATGGGAAAGAAGAAAACTGTTGCATGCCTGCTCCAATTTGTGCAAAACCAGAAATCACATGGAACATCCTTGCTCTCTCATGATCTTGCATCAAAATGAAAAAGGCTGCGGGCTGACTGTGAAACAGTGTTTCACAAGCGTGGCAAGTGCAAGCGATGTCATTTATGCTGTGCGACTGATTGCAAAAGTAGCTGGCCATGTCTTTGCTGGAAGTTGTTAACTACTCCCTCAAAACCAGACATAGGTTGGCATGCCTGACACGATCATCACAGCCTATGTTGGCACCTCCTTCGAGTACACCCTACCTCCATCCGCATCAAAGCCCTCAACCAATGGGCCGAGCACCTCAAGCTGTGCCCATGACCTTTTGCAGCCTCGCTCAGCCCCCTGCTTGAAGGTGCGATGGGAGGCTCCAGCACTCCGGCCCCCCACCCCCGCAGCGGGCGCCTGCAATGGCCCGTACAAACGGGGAGCACCCTGAAGACTGGCAATGCATACCCCCCCATAGAATAGACAAACTGGCACTGGTTCCCTCACCGCGGCCAGCACCTGATATAACGGATGAGCTATGCTGATGAGGAGCGGTACGCGATATCAATGAACTAATTGCGGCATGCCACATAGCCAGCACTCCACATGCTTCTGAAACGGGTGCCATGCAGTCGTATGCTCCATCATCCGCGCAAGCTGAAGAAAGTAAAGCCATATTCTCACGTGGCTTCCCTTGCAGTTAACTCATGGCTGTACGGTGGAAGTTGTGCGTGTGATGACTGCAGGCAATGCCCAAGCTATCGTTTCAACAACACCCCATAGAGGATTCTAGAATGTCCAATGGAGCCAAACAAGAAACCAACGAAAGGGGAGGAGCCCATTTAGATGAAAACCGGAGAGGACGGAAGACGGAAGACTACTTGGCAGGCCCGATTCGACATCCTAATCTGTTTCTAGCATTCTTCTGGCTTTTCTCTAGTGAACCCTTTTCAATTTGTTGGGTTCATGAAGCACAGACAATTGCCTACCCTCCCACCAATGGAAGCTGCCTGGAAGCCCTTGGAAGGTGATCTGTCGGGTCGGCTTCCATGGAGGGTGTCATGGCGATGGCCATGCAACTTGTCAGCTCGCGGCTGACATGGAGCTTGACAGGCGAGCTTCCAGCGAAAGACTGGGGCCTTCCCAAGCAATAAGGACTCCTGAACTTGGCCGCACTAAGCGAATGGGACAGAACAAGTGCGACACAAAGACCTACCAGAGTTCAGGAGACCCTCATTGACTCATTTATGTCAGTCATGAACCTTGAGGGCCAGTATGCATCGACCTTTCAATCAGGGTCTTTGAAGCCTCCCATAAGATGTTCTCTGAGGAACACGGGTGTCGGATGGACTGCACTGTGCGCCTAGTCGAGACAGATGCACCCCAGCCCCTTAAAGGAGTGTCTGCGAAGATCCTGCACAAGCCATGACTGGAAGAATCGATCCAAAACACGAATGGCTGTGCGTCAAATCTAGGTAGCTGTTTCAAGCGCAACCAACATGAAACAAAGCATTAGAAGGGATACCTGCAATTTAAACATGCTCATGCGCAACGCTTGCCAAGCAATTGCCCTGGAACAATTTGCTTGCGTCGCACGATTTGCCCAGTGACCGGGGTGAATCATGTGTCCATGCCCTCTGGAATGAGTCTCTCTTGAGCCGTGTTCAACAATTTGAGGCCAGAGCCACGACGCCAAGTTGACCAACTCTTGGCTCTCAATGGCTTTCCCCGACCGGTGCTGGCTGTCCTTTGACTCGCCATAGGCAGCAAGCCTCAGCTGGGAGACTGAGCAGAACCCTCAGGTTGCAACCAGAAACATGCTCGGGAACGACTTCCCGCACGCAATGTATCAATTAGCAACCGCCAGCCTGCTTATGCCGCCTTGTCACATTTGGAGGAAACCGAAACGACGCTTTGAATGAACGCGTGCTGCCTTTTTCTCCAGTCCAGTTTAACTCCATGCTGTGACTTCCCTGTGCGCCGTCGCATGGTTGTCTCCTCCACAACGACATGTTGGGCCCTCGAGAAGTCTCAGCGTGCAGCTCGTCCTTTTTCGATTCATCCCTCCAGGTTCGGGTCGATGACCAGGGTGGCTGGCACGTCGTTGGCTCGAGTGGATGCGGGCCACGTTCGCATGGCTGGTTGGTGGGCCGGGTCTTTCTGAAGACTGGCTGCAGTTCTCACCGATTCTCACCGATGACTCCCGCCAGGACGAGACCAACGAAGCCCACCAGCAGCGAGGTCAGGGTCACCAGGAACACGCCGGGCACCTGCTGCATGTGCTGTACGAATTTCCCGAGTTTCGCAAAATACAAGAAGCTCCTCAGCTAAGCCCTTGCCCGAGATGCCCCGTCCCATCCCAAATCTCGGGGAGCCGCGAACAAGTTGAGCCCATGTATTTTTTGCACCTCCGCAACTGCAATGAATATGTTTTGTTTTGTTTGAACTGGTGTTCGCATGCCGCAAGGTTGCCAGCCCGTCTTTCTGGACAGAGGAGCACCCCAAAAAGCGCATCGACTCAAGAACACACCCAAGATTCGCAGGTTTTTCTTTAGCATCCACCTGCCGGACGATTTGCAAGTGAAACGAAAAGAAACCATCCAAATCCTCTTTTGGGATACCCTATGCTGTTCACTACAACGACAAGAACACATCCGCAAGGAACTTGGAGGCAAATGGAAATGGTCCTTCCCTTGGCAAGCCTGGTTCCACTTCAGGATCCAAACTGTTCAGCGCACCCCTTCCATACGGTTCCCTAGCCGTCACCCCTAGCTGACTGGCGTCAAAACCCATGTTTTGCGTCCGCCTGGAGGGCCAGCAGCCGGTCCGGGAAGGCGGCGTGCAGCCAGGGGGCGTCCTCCTTGGGCCACATGGGCACCAGCAGCACCCAGACGGTGTAGTAGAGGAACGAGCCGCTCGAGGCGCACAGCAGCGCGCATCCGGAACCCCAAGACATGGCGTTTCAGGGGGAGCTGAGTGGCAAAGCTTTACATGCGAATCAGATCAGTCGCAGAGGGGGTGTTCCTGAAGGCGAGTAATTATGACACATGCAAGCAGCCCAATCCACGTCTTGTGCTGAGCCGGTCCGCCCTGGCCCTGTGCTGCTTGATGCCATCTTCGCAAGAGAGCGACTGAGCGAATTTCGACCCAACCCTTGGACGACCACTCGAGCACCCAGGCACAACACCTTAGCAACTTGTCGCTCACTCTAAATTAAAGGCCAAAGTTGGGAGGCACCACCAGCCACGTTGCCAAACTCCCCAACACAAACCGCAACACAACCCAGGGCACGCAACAGCACAGTTCGCTTCGAAGTCTTGCAAACAACATCAATAGGTCACTGACGATTTTGAACATAGGCCGAGTGACTCGTAACACAATCCGATGGGCATCTTTGTCCACGAGTCCATTCAGTGGCCTGTTGCCGATTCTTGGCGCATCTGTACAGTTATGTGTTAAGAACCTGCAAGCCAAGCTTTCTGTTGAGTCCGCTAGAATTTCTGCGGCATTGCTTGGGCTTGCTCAAAACCAAAGATCTTATCTCTTCGCGAAGTCCCAAGGACCGGCATTCTTCACATTGGGCCCGGCAGCACTGTGAAACTCCAAGCGCACATCATTCTCACCCTTGACTCGAAGAACCACCCTGCTGCCATCTTTCATCTGCATCCTCCTCATCTCGTTCCCCTGACTGTCCACTTCAAAGGTGTAGCCTCGGTCAGTGGGAGTCACCACCCTTTCCTTCAGAGCTTGCCTGAAGAGCTGCCAAATGGAGCACCCACACAGTGAAGGCCCACACAAATGATCGCACACGATCGGCCTTACTGGCGGCTGTCCACTACCTCCAGAGCCTCCCCCAGAGCCTCCCCCAGAGCCTGCCCCAGAGCCTCCCCTAGAGCCTCCCCTAGAGCCACCCTGGCCGCAGCTCTGGCCAAAGCCGCCTCCGCCGCCATAGCCACCAGCTCCTCCCCCATTGGACCTGAACATCGTCAGGGGGTGGGAAGCTCCATGCAAGTTCATGTTCGGGAGGTTCATTACGAGAATCGGAGGGGGAGCCAAGGACACCCCGCCGGACAAGGATCGCTGCCTCTGACTCTGCCGAAGCCCTCCGGCTTCAGCCACTACCGACGTCTGCTGGCGGCGCTTCACCATTGCGGGAATCTGCATTGGGTAGTCCATGCTCTCCGGCACCCGCGGCAGCTGGTAGCTCCGCAGCTCCTGCTTGTCCACCACACACCCGGCCTTGAGCAGGAAGGCCGCCAGCACCGTGGCCTTGGCAAACTCCTCCAGCTCCGCCACTGCAGGCTCCATCTGGGCCACGAGGCGCAAGCGCTCGCTCACCTCCGCAGCCTGGCGACACGCCTTGTCCTCCGCGTCTGTGTGGGCCGCATCCACGTAGCCCTGCGGCCCCGGCACCAGGCGCCGGGCCTCCACACCCAAATTCACCACAGGCACCAGCATGCCACCGGCACACACCACGACCATGGCCTCCCGTACAGTAAACCACTGGCGCGCCGCCCTGGACTCGGCCTCCATGTCCTCCTTGAAGTTGCTGTAGCTCTCGGACAAGCAGTCTAAGGTCTTGTCCCCAAAGGCCAGCTGTTTCAACGTGAAGTCGGCCAGAAATAGTACCTCCCCGGCAACCGTGCCAGCCAACCAGTCGGGGCTGAAGCGCTTTTTCAGCCATGGTCCGCTCAAGTTGTGGGGATCCAAGGGATCTAGGCTGAAAACTGGCGCGTCCCCTTCATGACCATGCAAGGCTCGAAGAGCGCACACCAGGTACGGCAGGGAAATCGCTGCTTCGCAGAGTTGTTCCTCCTGGATTTGTTCATCAGTGAGATCAGGAGCAAGCGCTGCACAACTCACACCAGTCTCATCCATGCGAATGCAAATGAAGTTGTTCTTGGAGCCGGCAAGATCATGGATGCCAAAGTCCAGCAACACTGCCCGCGGATCCGGCAGCAGATCTGAACGCCACTCCAAGTGGTACTTCTCCGAATTGCACCTTTTTTGCGCTTCCTCACTATTGACTGCCTCGGCTGCCTTCTCGTCCTCTTCTTGCTGCACTTGTGCGGCATAGCAGCCTGAAGTCCGATGCCTCGGAGTGAGCACCCTGCCCTGTGAGCAATTTGCTGCAGCGGAAGCACTTGAAGCACTCCTGGTGCAGCCTCATGTTCTGCACGTTGCAAACAGCACCGGCCAGCGAGGATGTAACTGTCCTGAATCTCCCGCTTGCAAGCGGCGCACCTAAAGCACGACTCGTGATAGGTTTTGCCCTCAAAGTTGATGCTGTTCCCAACAAGGGCCTGTCGGCATTCAGCGCACTGTCCATTCGATCGTCCAGCCATCTGTTGGGCTCGGCGCCTGAATTATTCGCACGGCTTGAGAGAAAAACACATTGAGATTTGACTTCAAGCGACTCACTTCCCTGCAAACTGAGAAAATGATGCGTCTTCCCACCCCGCCCCGCTTGAACCTGTGTCCTGTTCCACTGGGGCGCCGGCCCACACAAGCAGCCTCAAACTGTGAGGCCTGGGCTGCAGCCGAGCTGCCAAGAATGTTTGTAGAGTTCCAGCAGGCTTTTGTTCTACTGTATACAAAGGGTGCCGGCGGGCCGCGCTGCTTCCAAGGGTTGAACCCCTGTTCTTGGATGTCCAACGTGGGGCAAGTAGGTTATAACTATATAACTTGGGTAGCTGGGGTTGGTCCCCTTATAACCATGGTTATCACCTACTTACAAAGTTAGCTTTATCCAAGGCCCTCTTGGTTTTAAAAACCCACCACAAACACACATTCATACACACACACACACACACACCACACCATGTCCCTGCTGCCGTTTACCTGATTGCTCAAGCAACTAAAGCTTTTAGAAGCCCAGTCCCTTTGGTGCATCTTCTTGCGCATGCTACGATGTAGCTGCACTCACCGTTTCTCGCACATTTGTTGACAACTTGGATGTCTAACATAATTCAAAATGCTTATCCTGCATCAATCTAATCCACCGGGTCTGCCCCCCAGCAGACGCTACCAATCTGCAGACCAAGCGGGCGTGAAAGGTTTGCACAGCACTGACTGGTCGTGGAAGCCAGCATTCCATCTGCTCATGATCAAGCCATGCGAATGCGTTTGCCTGCCGGCCGCACAACTCGCACAAACAATGCCAACTGATGCTGTAAAACAAAAGAAGCAAGGATGAAGCAATCTAAACAACATGACAGGAAGCAAGGAAAGCTGCTAAAAAGCAGAACCACTCGCCCTTTTGCTTGGGCGCCCATCCCCGCGCATCCCTGTGACTGCTAAGCGCTGCGAACGAGACCCTTTGCCAAGCTCACTGGCGGCCCCGGCGGTGGAGCAAATAGACGGTGACGCCTCGAATCGCTCTTTCGGAAACCTGGTGGGGGCTACATGTTTCCTCCCAAAAAAAAAAAATGGGACGAACGCCTGTTTTGCATCATACTTTGTTCATGCCTCTATAATACGCGTGCATGCCGTTATGGTGAGAATGTGGTCACTGCTGAGTCCGCTCTCATATCGTGCTTGTTTGTCGCAGTCAGACATTTGGCAAATTCCATTCTCCCAATACCCGCCCCATCCTGCCAACTCAAAAACCGGGAACAAGCTCCTGTCCACCACACCCATCCTGTTGCACACAGCATGCACTTTGCTTGTGGAACTGCGGTTGGAGAGCACCCCAGTATTGAAAAAATGTTGCATGCATCGCTGCGTTGCAACGGCTGATTTGTTTGACTGACCTGCCAGCGCCAGAAGGAAGCATCCACATCCAATCTGTGCACGTAGAACTTGTTGAAGAGTCACTGCTCTTTGCATCTCGCTGTTGAACGACTGTACGCTTTTCTAGCTGCAGTCAAGCCACGACACTCCGGCTGCCTGTCAGAGCGAAGATAGATGCTCAACCGTGCAAGGAGTTAGCCGGATGTGCAGCATCATGCTTTGCAAACGCGTCCGGTTGTCCCCTAGCCACAGAAGCTCTCATAAGCATGTGCCCTCCATATTTAAAGAAATTGAATGGCAGCAACGCTTGCCTTACTCAAAGCAGCTGGTGTTATATTCTTACACAGTTCGCGATGTGTTGGAGGCAAGCGCTGACATGAGCACTTTCTCATGATTTCTCAGTGCCGCTTTAACCACCACAGTTTCGCGGTCAAAGCATGCAAGCACGCGGTGAGCCTTTCACCAACTCCAACAACCAACGGCAACCAACTACCACTGGCGTCAAAAAAGCAGCAACAACAACAACAACAACAACAACAACAACAACAACAACAACAACAACAACAACAACAACAACAACCACAACCACGACCACGAACACAACCACAAACACAACCACAACCCAACAACCACAACAACAACCACACAACAACAAACAACAACCACACAACACACAACAACAACAACAACAACAACAACAACAACACCAACAACAACAACAACAACAACAACAACAACAACAACAACAACAACAACAACAACAACAACAGCAACCAACAACAACAAACAACAACAACAACAACAACAACAACAACAACAACAACAACAACAACAACAACAACAACAACAACAACAACAACAACAAGAAGAACAAGAACAAGCACAAGCGCAAGAGCAAGAGCAACAGCAAGGGCGAGAGCAAGAACAAGAACAACAACCATTACGACGACAACAACAACAACCACAACCACAACCACAACAACAACGGCCGCTGGTTTTGCGCAAAGGGTCTCCACACCGCCATTTTACTACCTCTTGTCGGGGGAACGCGGTTCTGAACTGCGGCGCAGGGCAGTGAACGTGTACTTGTGTTGGCAGGGCCAGCAGTGCGTCAAATAATATTTCTGGCATGCTCGCAAAGACCTTCAAAAACAGGGGAGCCAGGGCGGCCGCCGCGGAGCGTGCAAACAAGCTAGGAGCAGGCAAACAAACAAACAAACAAACGAATAGACAAAAACACGCGCACACACACACAACACACACTCGGACCAACAGACAAACGGATAGACAGACAAACACTTAGGCAAGAAAACAAACAAACCAACAACCCACTAACCCACCCACCAAACAACCAAACAACGAAGCAGCCAGCCAGCCAGGCATATCGAGCGCTCGACCTGACACATGGCAGGCATGTGTGCAGCACTGAGCATGTGACCGGGCGTTCTTACCATTTGGCGGACATGTGTGCAGTGCTGAGCAGGTGCGCGTGAGAGGGTGTTCTTACCATTTGGCTGGCATGCGCAGTGCTGAGCGGGTACGCGTGAGCGAATTTTCGTCCCATTTGGGAGGCATGTGTGCAGCGCTGAGCGGGTGCACGTGAGCGGGTGTTCTTACCATGTGTTTGGGAGGCATGTGTGAAGTGCTGAGCGGGCGCACGTGAGCCGGTGTTCTTACCATTTGGCAGGCATGTGCGATCATGTGCGCGCACGCGAGCGGGTGTTCTTACCATTTGGCAGGCATGTGTGCAGCGCTTAGCGGGTGCACGTGAGCGAATTTTCTTACCATTTCGGAGGCATGTGTGCAGTGCTGAGCGGGCGCACGTGACCGGGTGTGTATGAAGCGGGCGCACGTGAGCGGGTGTTCTTACCATTATTTTAAAGGCATGTGTGCAGTGCTGAGCGGGTGCACGTGAGCAGGTGCTCTTACCACTTGGCAGGCATGTGTGAAGTGCTGAGTGGGTGCACGTGAGCAGGTGTTCTTACCACTTGTCAGGCATGTGCAGCGCTGAGCGGGCGCACGTGAGCGGGTGTTCTTACCACTTGGCAGGCATGTGTGCAATGCTGAGCGTGCGCGTGAGCGGGTGTTCTTACCACTTCGCAGGCATGTGTGCAGCGCTGATTTGGCAGGCATGTGCAGCGCTGAGCGGACGCACGCGAGCGGGTGTTCTTACCATTTGGCAAGCATGTGCGCAGCGCTGAGCGGGTGCGCGTGAGCGAATGTTCTTACCATTTCGGAGGCATGTGTGCAGTGCTGAGGCATGTGTGCAGTGCTGAGAGGGCGCACGTGCGTTCTTACCATTTGGCAGGCGTGTGTGAAGCGCTTGGTGGGTGCACGTGAGCGGGTGTTCTTCCATTTGGCAGGCATGTGCAGTGCTGAGTGGGCACACGTGAGCGGGTGTTCTTACCACTTGGAAGGCATGCGCGCAGTGCTGAGCGGGTGCGCGTGAGCAAGTGTTCTGACTGAACAAGTGCACGTGAGCAGCTCGGGCTTGCGGTTTTGCTTGCCTGTGGGATGTATGCAGGGTTTAGGCCGTGTGGCTGACAGGGTGATGCTTCAGCGGGGCTTGGTCTGCATCATCGAGACTTCCTTCCAAAGAGCCTCTCGCACTGTTTTGTAGAAGGTGCCGAAGGGATATAAGCAAGGGCCAAAAAACTGCTATGCTGAGTGTTGGGCTGTTGTTCTGTCCGTTGGCTGGCTCGTGTTCTGCGCGGTCCTTGCTTTTTTCCCGAAAGCATGGCGAAGGGTTCTTCCGCTGGGTTCACTTGAGTTGTTCTCATGAGAGTCATTACAAGGTGTCATTGCAAGGAATCAGCATCATGAAAGTCATTGCAAGGAGTCATTGCAAGGAGTCATTGCAAGGAATCATCATCATGAAAGTCATTGCAAGGAGTCATTGCAAGGAGTCATTGCAAGGAGTCATTGCAAGGAGTCATTGCAAGGAGTCATGGCAAGGAGTCATTGCAAGGAGTCATGGCAAGGAGTCATGGCAAGGAGTCATTGCAAGGAGTCATTGCAAGGAGTCATTGCAAGGAGTCATTGCAAGGAGTCATTGCAAGGAGTCATTGCAAGGAGTCATTGCAAGGAGTCATTGCAAGGAGTCATTGCAAGGAGTCATGGCAAGGATTGCAACTTGCACTTGACTC